CCAAGCTTCATCTGAAAAGGAGAGAAAGTACATTCAAAAGCACAGCCTTTGCATATCTTAAAGCTTGTGCAAACCATTCAGCATGAATAGAGGTTTTTATCTTGTTCTTCCATGTTGCCTCTGTCTGATGTTTACATCAAAGGCAGCCACTGGAGAAGTAGCAGAAGAGACCTCAAAGAGCAGAATGGCGATAATTACTGTGAGTGGTAATTTGTCCTCTGGGGCTTCTGAACTTCTTCCATGTACAAAGGGGCCTCTGGAGAAAAGTATATATGTGAAATGTTGCAGATACAACCCGGGGGAGATTCTTCTACCATGATTGTCATCCTTCCTGTCAGGACATGTCCAGAAAGTGATGCTGGAGGAAGAAACTTTAACTCTCTGGGAACTGACTTCTGCTGTCCTCCATTGTGGTACGTTGTGCCCAGAGATTGCTGGGGAAGCTCACCTGGAGCTATGGAGTTTGGTGCTAGTCTAGGTTGTTGACATTTAACTCTAGAGCTCCCTGTCTTCTAATACTATCTCTACCATTGAATCCTGCCTAATGTTAAGAGTTGGTATTTCACTCCATATGGAGATAGATAGATAGATAGATAGATAGATAGATAGATAGATAGATAGATAGATGGATGGATGGATGGATGGATGGATGGATGGATNTTTTGCCTTGGACTCTGATTTAATTCTGATTGATACTGGGAACGCTGACAGAAGGGAGACTACAGGCCCCCATATAATGTGTCAGTTATACAATTCAAGAACTCTTTAATTGAAATTTTGTCTGTTCTGACAGACACAATTTTAGATATCTGTCAGTTCCCATAGCTATAATTTTATTAAATTTTATTTTATTGGATTTTATTAAATAAATAAAACAACCTAGAACTGAAAAATTTTCTAATGGTGAGAGCAATCAACACACTGAAGGTTTTCAAAAAGAGAATGGGCAACCATTTGTCTGAAATGATATAGGGTCTCCTGCTTGACCAGGGCATTGGACTAGAAAATCTCGCAGCGTCACATTGTCATCACATGACGTATCCCAACTTTTTTCCCCTTTGCTAAACCGAGGGTGGGCATAGCCAGTGCATGACGGATCCAGACTGTAGGCCATGAGTTTGACCCCCTTGGACTAGAAGATCTCCAAGGTCCCTTCCAACTCGATTATTCTATGTTCTATTTTATAACAATAATTATATGACCTGATTTCAGACAAAGAAGAAATTTTATAAATTCCCAATTCAGTTCTGAGGGCAGCAGCTGAAGTCCTTGTAGGTTGCTGTAGCAATGGTATAATGACTATATATAATTATGTCACAGTCTGCTTACTGTGTTTCCCTGAAAATATGACCTACCCCCAAAATAAGGCCTAGCCTGTTTTTTTTGGGGGGGGGCTAATATACACCCTACCCCTCAAAATACTGAAGCCCTAGTGCTCCCTGTGCATGTATGTGTGACACCCGCCCCTTCCGCTATCCCGTGCATGTGCACACAGCTTTTTGGAGCCTCGGGAGGGGGAAAACAGGAGTTTCATTATCTACAAAAGATCACTATGTCTCTACAGAAATGCACAAAACAAGTATGAAGACCTCCTAGAATGCATATGGGTCAACAAAAAAAGAATGGCATTGTTATAGGCGCATACTACAGGTCACCCAACCAAGCAGAAGAAATAGATAAATTTTGTTCTAATCAATTAACAAATGTATGTAGGAAACATACCACAATAGTAATGGGGGGACTCTAACTACTCTGATATCAACTAGAAAACAAACTCTGCAGCAAGTGGAAGATTGAATAGATTCCTAACCAACTTAGCTGACAACTTTGTCATTTTTTTTTCATTTACCTCCAATAGACCAATTAGATCCCACAGATTAGGCCTCCTCCGAATTCCATCCGCCAGCCAATGCCGACTGGCGACTACTCGGAGGAGAGCCTTCTCTGTGGCTGCTCCAACCCTCTGGAATGAGCTCCCCGTGGAGATTTGAACCCTCACCACCCTCCAGGCCTTCCGCAAAGCCCTTAAAACCTGGCTGTTCCGACAGGCCTGGGGCTAAAGAACTGTTGCCCCCCGCCTCGAATGGTATGACTGCTGTGTGTTTTTTAAATTATGTATTGTTATGTTCCGTCTTTTTTATTTCTTGTCTGTACCCCCCTCCCCTGATTTGAATTGTGAGCCGCCCTGAGTCCCCTTGGGGAAAAGGGCGGCATATAAATGTAATCAAATCAAATCAAATTTAAAAGAGCTCTGGTGTGGTGGCACGGTGGTTAGAATGTAGTATTGCAGGCTAATCCTGCTAATTGCTGACTCCAAGCTGTTCAGCAGTTCTAGACTCATTGGTTCAAGGTTGTCCCAGCCTTCTATCCTTCTGAGGCTGATAAAATAAGTACCCACATTTTTTTTTGGGGGGGGCAATCTGCTGATTCTGTAAACCAGTTAGAGAGGGCTGTAAAGCATTGTAAAGCAGTATATAAGTCTAAGTTGTATTGCTATCCAAAAGGTAGAGGAGTAAACGAGTGGTAAAGCAATACTGGACCTAATTCTTATTAATAGAGTCGAAATGGGTCAAAATGCTATATAAGAACACCAGCAGCCAAGTCCGATGCTCAGCTGGCCTCTACGACAGATTCCCAGTGATGGTTTGGGTACAGCAAGGCTCTGCACTGTCACCACTTCTGTATATATTGGTCATTGAAACCATCACGCATGACCTGTAGCAGAACGCACTCTGGACTATGCTCTATGCTGATGATGTTATACTTACTTCCACTACCAGAGACGAACTAATGCAGCAAGTTCAAAGATGGAATGATTTCCTCAACCATTTCAGACTCCACTTCAACATCAAGAAAACTGAGTATTTAGAGAATGTTACCACCCTTGGAATGCTTCAAATCAATGGAGAAAACCTGAGAAGGTGAATATTTTTTGGTATCTGGGATTCCATCTCCAAGGCAATGGTGACATCAAAAAGTGAGGTGTGAGCAAGGATGAATTCAGCCTGAATGCATTGGCAAGAACTCACTGGTGTGTTAAGTGACAGACGAATGCCAACCGATCTCAAATCTAAGATTTACAAGACAACCATCTGCCCTGTTGCACTATATGGCACAGAATGCTGGGCAGCAACAACAGAGATCAAAAGCTATCTCCATGCCATGGAAATTTGAATGCTCCATTGGATATTGGGCATCTCACTCCTTGATCAATCACAAATGACACCATTCAACAGCATTTTGGTGTGGCACCAATTATAAAGAAGATGAGAGAAGGCTGACTCTGCTGGTATGGACATGTCCAGAGAGAAGCACCTTCCATCATGGCCAAGACTTCCTACCAACTAGAAGTCAATGGCTGGCAACCTCACAGGCATCCAAAACAGACACCATTGACAAAGATATGCAAGCCACAAGCCTGCACCCTGGAGGCGCAGCTGACTGTGCAAAGTGGCATTCAATGATCTGAAAAGCACCCTGCACTTGTGGGAATACAAGGAGAGAAGGAAGAAGAAGAGGAGGAGGAGGTGGTAGTAGTAGTAGTAGGAGGAGGAGGAGGAGGAGTAGTAGTAGGAGTAGTAGGAGTAGTAGGAGTAGTAGTAGGAGTAGTAGTAGTAGTAGTAGTAGTAGTAGTAGTAGTAGTAGNTAGTAGTAGTAGTAGTAGTAGTAGTAGTAGTAGTAGTAGTAGTAGTAGTAGTAGTAGTAGTAGTAGTAGTAGTAGTAGTAGTAGTAGTAGTGATAGAGGCAGTTGAGATTACCAGAACTTTGGGCAAGAATTACCACGTCATATTGGAACAACATAATGCAAATACAAGCAATGGAACCTAATCCAACCAGATTCTTAAACTTTAAAAGAGCTGATTTTAACAAACTCAGAGTACCCTAGAAAAGATTCCATGGATGAAATTCCTAAAGGGGAAAACAACTCAAGAAGCATGGGAAACTCTGAAAATATGATAATAAAAGCCCAGCCTGGTACAATACCACTGAAAAAAGAATAACAAGAAATTGAAGAAGAAACCAGCATAGTTGCACAAAGATCTCTCTGATAAACTGAGAAAGGACAAGTACAAAAACATGGAAAGAGGGACCTATAATTAAGGCAGAATATCCACAGATAGCCCAAATCTGCAAAGATGAAGTCAGGAAAGCAACCTATACATTTATATTCAATGTATAAATAACAAGACAAAAGTCAAGGAAACAGTCAGTCCACTAAAGAGAAAAGATGGCAAGGGAGCAACAGGCAGTAGAGACAAAGAACAGCTGCTTAACTCATTTTTTTTGCACCAGTCTTCATGCAAAAAGAAACTATAGCCCAACCTACCAAAAACATAACTGTAAAATCTGTTTAATCTGTTAAAATCCTGATAACAGAGGTACTCACAATTTGAGATTAATGATTTTTTGAATAGTTCAACTGGCAGAAAGTTTTATTTGGGGGCTATATTGGTCTTCAAGCATTTTATGATGAATTTGATCATGCATATACTAGGGTAAAAAACAATCCACACATTGGCTAACATGCTTGCAATTTTTAGAATAAATGGTGAATTAATGGTAGTGGCCACCATGAGTCTATAAGACATAAATGTTTTATCAACAGTAGGTAAGATTGGCATTTATTTTCATTTCATTTTATTTTATTCAGCATTGAAAATATCATTATATTTTATAATGTAAAAAATGTGAGCTTTCCATCAGTGCTGCACCTTCCCATTGTACAGAAGACCCTTTGATTGAATACAGAGTGTCTCCTTGCCATCACAAACATGCAGCAGAAGCCACCAAACCAATGGGGATGCTGTCATGAGAAGATATGTCTGCTTTGGTCCTTGCTCCTTCTCCCCTGTGTATCGAAATCCCCAGCCATGACACCTAGAATGGCCATAGTGAAAAGCAGCTCTTGAATTCCAAGCAGAAGATATGGCTGGAACTATCATGCACCCACAACCGCTCAGCTCATTTTACCAGGTAGAAAAACAAACAAACACACAAACCTCTGGGACTTTGTAGGTGCCTACTAATGCTGACATCTGGATGGAGATCTCCATATCAGCTGCATCAATAAGAGCCAGAAGGTTGTCCTTCATCCCACAGCTGTAGTTAGGAACATTGGCCCTTCCAGTAGACAGCGTGTCCATCAAGCCTTCTGCAGTGCCAAGTGTGGTCAAATGGTTGTCATGGATGTTGTATCCAAGTGTGAGATTGTTAAGAAGTTGGATATCCTTGTTGACCATTTGAATGGTAAAAATAAATGGTTTTATTCCAGAGGTAGCATAAGGTAGACTAGTATAAAAAAATATCCCCATTAATATCGGCATGATAAACAGCAATAATATAATACTCTATTATTCATCATCCTTGTCAATACATGATTGACTGAAGTCAATACTTACCGTATTTTTGGAGTATAAGACTCACCTATTTTCCTCAAAAAAGAGGCTGAAAATCTGGGTGCATCTTATACATCGAATACAGCATTATTTGCCTCCTGAAGCCCCGCCCCTTCACCAAAATGG